TCGTACGGATCGTCTCACTGGCGCCAAAACGGCGGAAAACGCATTCTTCATATCCCTCAGCTACTGTCTGGGCTGTCCGTGACGCACTTTCCTTAGCCATCACATAACCTGTGAACAGGTCGACCCAGATTAGTAGTTCCGTATTTCCTTTATGCGACTTGGGGAGAGATGGTATGTGGTCCATCGCGATAAATTTGGAAGGGGTACGTCGCTTCAACATTCCCCGGAGACTTCCCTTGTAAAGTGGGCCTCCCTTTCCCAGTCTCACAATCCATGCACTGACCCACATAATTCTGGACGCTCCGGAATAGACCCCTCCAATGACAATATCGTCGGATCCGATGATAGGTACGCCCGATTCCCTGATGGCCGCCATCCAAACTCGTATGATAGTGATGGAGAACGTCGGCCTGGAGACTCTCAGGCATCACCAATCTGGCAGTTATGTCTCGGTCGTCTCCCTTGATCCTCTGGCCGGGGCAGTACACCAGCAATCCTTCTTCACTTATCTCGTAGTCTTCCGACATTTTGCTGCAGTTTATGGCCGATTCCACTGACAAGTATTTCCAGTCTCCCTTCAAATATGCTCTCAACTCGCGTACCCAGCTCTCTTCTTCTTGCGTATCTCGGATCCTATCCATCCGGAGTTGTTGTACCGCATCTTCTTGCATGACATCTCCAGATATTCTGACGGGTAACCGTGATCTCTTCACCGCAGATACCTTGACCAACTGACCCCGGTCTTTAGGGATGGCAGCCGAGTGATTGCTTCTATACCTGACCATTCTCCTCTCGGTATCGACTCGAACCCTTGCTGATGATGTAAAGCCACACTGGCCAACTGGTCTGCGCTCTGATTCCAGTCTCGTTTCACATGTAAGACTGCGTGAGTGGGCTACGACTGGAGCTTACTCGACGCCTTGGCCCGCAACGGGGATAGACCTGAAGCTTTGCATTCAATCTCTCCACGCATCTGTCTTATAACCAAATTGGAGTCTCCACAAATAATCAAATGCCGTCGCTCCATTGGCTGTAACAGGTCAAAGCCCAGTAACATGCCCTCATATTCAGCTTCATTCACTGTAGACTTGTCAAGATATTTCGATGCAGCTGCGACTATAGTCCATGCAGGAAGTCCCCATACAATAGTGCTTCAGGCACCTCCTCCTTTCTTCACCCGGGCCGACCCATCGAAACTCATCACATACATTTCTTCGTTTGGTTCCACTGTGGGCGTCGGTAGGTCGACCACTTTCCTGGATTGCTTCTTGGGAGTAATTGACGACAGAATTGAGTCTACATGCTCTCGAGGCGTAATACTGGCAGCTAACGCCCCCAGCACCTGGTCTTCGCCTTTCTTGCACTTCACAATCTCCAAAGTCCACTGAGACAAAAGAGCGGCCCAATTTCCCAAGCGACCTTGCAACCCCGAAGACTTTACTAGCCAGGCTAGTGTAGAATGCCTCGTCAGAACCTTGAGGGGTCGGGTGACCAACATCGTGAAGCAAGTCTCCAACATTCGTTACAACGCCAAAACTTCCTTTTCCACTTTGCTATAGTTCACCTCGTTTGACTTGAGGGTTCGGCTCGTAAACATTACCGGCATATACATGCCGTCGTAATTATGCACCAACGACGCCGAGATGGCCCAATCACTTGCGTAGACAATAATAGCCGCCTCTCTAGCCGGGTCGAAATTTCGTAGGATGGGCGCCGTACCAATCTTGATCTTGAGCATGGCAAACTCTACTTGTACCTTCGACCATTTTTCTTCGTCGTCTTCCTGGGCCGCCACTTCATCGTCAACCTTCAATTTGCACCTCCAAACGTGAAAATCCACCTCTTTCAATTTATAAAGGATCGACGCGTATATGGCATAATCCTCTATGTATCTACTGTAATAGTTCAGTCTTCCAAAAAATGATTGCATAGCCTTCAGTGTTGCCGGTAAAACCAGGTACAAAACTAAAAATTTTTGGATGGGCCTCTAGTCTCTCCCCGGACACTCGATGTCCAAGTAAGTCGACCTACCGACATCTGGGATGGTTCCTGGGGAAATTCGTAACAATCATATAACGAATTTTCTAACAATCCCAAAGGGCATCCAAAGACATTTAAATAATCCTTTGGCGTGATGAATGCTAATATTAGCCTTGCCCCCTCGGTCATACTGACTTCCCAAAACCAACTCGCCATGTCAAGTGAACAATACGTCCAGGTCCTTCAATAATTTGTTAATTGAAAATATGGGTAGACTTTAAGTTGAGCAAAATAGCTCACCAACCAATAGTCGATGCCCAATCGGATGCCAAAAAATTTTTTAATGATGTATCCCAAACATCTCTTTTCCACCCCATTCTTCTTCACGATAATCACAATCTGGCTGGCCCTTGGCGAGGCGGATAGTTGAAATTTTTTCGCCGATAACAGTCGTTTTAACATGTCGTCCAACTTCTCTCTGAACTGGGGAGGCCACCTTCCGTACACGTTGCCCGATTGGTCTCGTATTCCCCACATCGATGTCACATATAGACCCTCGAGCGACCGGAGGTAAGGCGTTACGTTATATTATCAATAGATGTTGCCTCTTATAAAGTATATGTCTTATCCGGTCAACCTTTTCAGGAGTATTCCCATCCGGATCAGGAATATGTGTACCTGCCAACTTAATACCTTCAGGTGAGGGGTCCACGTCTGGTATGATAGCCTATCCTTGATTTGTGTCCTCGGCCATACTTTTTCCACTCTTGAAATAACACATCTGGTCATCTGTCTGTGACAAGTCTTTTAGTTTGCTTTCTCCTCATTTGCAGTGGTCACTGTATGTCGGAGGCGTTATTTGGTCGGTTATATTATTGACGAAAAAAATTGTAGATTTCCTCCATCTGGTACTACCCGAATATATTAATTTTCTAAGCAGGCTCGGCACGCAAACAAGCAGAATAAGACGTTTCACCCTACTTTCCAGTTCAATCGCTTCCGAAAATTCAAATATCCATGTTTCTTACACCACAATAAGCGCATCTTGTATTTGGGACCGCTGACGAAGGACGGGGTTCCTGGTGCACTGCCTGTCGATGTTGGTCGACCTCCCTGGTTGATAGATTTTTCAAGAACCTTACACCTAGGCCTCCTCCATCTTCCTTTTCTATAATGTAGACCCGCCTTAGATCCTCTTCGTTCTTCGAAGAGTCTCGGCTAAAATCGTCAGAGCTTGAGTCTTCCGCGAACGCCCGAACTGCATGTATATAGCGGCGTTTCATTCTTTCGGTCTTTATGTGGGAGCAGGTGCCTTCTGACAAAACTTGTTTGATCCAAACAACATCTTGCCCCGTCGAGAATTCATCCATCGACATGCTGTCAATAATTTCTCCAATCCCTCCACATCCGCCAGACGCAACATAATCCGCTTGTATGCTGGATCCGGTTCGTCTACCGTCAATATGTAGTGATCTACCATGATCTTTTTTATGCCTTGGGCGACCCATCTCTTATTTTCATATTGGCTCTGACCCCAATCACATGTAGGCGGTACAGATAATCCAGCGAGGTCTATTCAGACCTTTTCTTCGCATGGTAATACTGGCGGGTAACATGTACCCATATTATGACCAGTTGGCTTTGTATGGCTGAGATTTGGTCGTGTTGAGAGGTCGTCTTTATCGCCCTTGGTCTTCCATCTGTCACACTCCCCGTTAGGGTGTGCCTGCGGTACTTGATTCTATTGCAATCAATTTGCCATCGCCGCGTCAAGAGGGTCTGTAGATCACCTACCGAGCTGGTAGGCCCCCCCCCCAGCATCTTTGCCACGTGACAGAGCAAATTCCACTTTTTGTCTTTGCTAATTTTCCATTGGCTAAAACTTGAAATGATTTTTATTTTGCCACGCGTCGAGAGCTCGCGGTTTTCACTCCGCCGTTGCGCGCCCGCTCTTGAAGAATCACCGCACCTGTCGGTCCCAGGGGCATCTTGCTCACTAAGCTGTTGACGATGCTCTTTGTGACCACTGCCCCGCTGCAACTTGGTCGCTCGGCGGCAGGAGGTGTGGTAGACCTTGCTTCGCCCATGGGTATCCGGTGTCCCAATACATTGGTGGTGGACTGCGATGTCTCGAAGGGTCATCTGGCTGTCTCCGGACGGTGCTTGCATGTAAGTCGCCGTAAATAAGTTATCCTTTTCTGGTGTGGTACCGACGAAGATCGCTAAACGTTGTTAATTTTCTTTGACGTAGTCGTGATTCTATCAAACTCCAGAAAAAGCTAGTCATCCGGATTTAACATTTCTGCGACAATGTTCGTTTTTTTGAAGAAGGGTGACCAGCGCGGTGATCGCGTCTGTAACGGTCTGCAGCCGTGGTAGGGTCGACATCGGTCCAATGAGCTGCCCAAGCAGACGTATCTTAAGGATCTTTGCGACGGGGTCGCTTTCCAAGAACGCGTTCAGCTTGAGTTGGTGGTAGGCCCTCGTGACGTCAGCGTCTGGCCATGATGCCAGTCCTGCTTCTCGGGGCCTATCGACTTGGTGTTTCCGGGTTCCTTCATCCGGAACTTGGTCGGCTTGGATTGCGCGATCTTTGCTTTTTGTTTGTTTGGGGACCTTAGCCTCTCGGTTTTCATCGTCGGCTGATGGTTCTCTGGATCATTATAGGCATCATGACCCAAGGTGTCCTCTACGAGGACATAAGTATAAAATCTTGGTGAGCAGTCGTTGAGCTGGCCGACTCCTGGGAGCAGTCGCGTGAGCAGTTATACTGCCGGATGACTTTAGGCAACAGTTGTGTGAAACCAATACGAAGTAAGATCAATGCGAGTTGCTATGGTTAGAATATATATTATAATTACGCTCTAAATTCCTTTCTCGTGCACAAGTCACTTCAGATTCAATAGGTTATGAGCCCAAGCGTCGGGTCTGAGCATTTTGTCGGCGAGGTACGAATACCTTCGACCGGAGGGGTCGCTCACGAAAGGAGCAAAACTGACCAGAAGACGTCACTATCCAACATGGAGCGCGTGCTCGCAGCACTAACGCGGTTAAAGACACGCATAGACACTATTGAAAGAGCTAGTGTTAGGGTTTTAAACGCTTCGCCTTTCTCGCCACGCATGCAACATGCACAACCTGGGCGTCGAGGCGATGGGCGCAACGTGGCGCAAGCGGCATTTGATGGAAGCGATTCTCGTCGTGCAATGGATGGAAGCAGCGCGCTAGAGCGTACGCCAATGCAGATCGACGAACTTTCCGGTATGGGACCGTTTAAAGCTGGAAGCTTTTACAGGCGCGCCGAAGCACAAGCGCGGGTTAATCAAGGTGCGGCGGAAGAACAAGCCGCGATGGAGCACAAGAGGCAGCCCATGCGCAAGCAGGGTATCAAGCTACCTCATCCTAGGCATGCCTTGGTAGGCTAAACACCAACCATGGATAGACTGGCGTACACGCACAGTCGCTAGCTCTACGCAAGACACCGGAAAGGATGTGCTCTTGCGAGAGGCTAATGTGACTGATGCTGTGTCCAACACAGTCGAGGGTGCGATGACGGTATGTCAATCGACACCAGGAACTACCCAGCTCGAAAGGAGTGGTGTAGTTGTGGGTGCACTGGCGGAAAGCCAGGTGACACATATTCCTACCCAGGTCGAAAAGACTGGTGTAGTGAATGGGGCGATGACAGGTAGTCATGCGTCCAATAGTCCTGCACAGAGCCGAGAGCCTGTGGCAGTTGATGGTGGGCTGACAGGAAGTCAAGCGCCACAAGAACCGGCACAGAGCCAAGAGCCTGGTGCGGTTGGAAGGAGTGCGTTAGCTGAGATAGCAACGACACCTTCTTCCAGGTCAAAGGTCGTGGTGACTCGAAGAACGAGCACCAGACGTATTAAGACGATCAAGGGCACGTCGAAACGAGTGACCCTTGGATCAGTCTCGGTCCAAGAGGACGGACCTACGAACGAGTTGTTCGAGGCCGTCGAAGACAAAATGCCGGAGGCATCCTCAGTTGAGGTGCTCCAACTTGTCTTGGCATCTGCCGAGGAGATAGTAAATCTCTCGGAGATGACGTGGGATCTGTTCCTGTCCGAACTAAAGGAAGGAAAGATCCACGAGATAGTCGCACCAGTTCCAGAAGAGAACGTGGTGGACTGTTGCTCTTCATCCACAATGGATGAGAGCGTCTTCGAGACCTACAAAAAGAAACGGTTCGCTGCTCAAGGCTGGGATGCCTTGAAGGACAGCCCGTTCTATGATGTTCTGTGGAAACATCGTGATGTGTTTCCAGCAGAAGTGCCGAGCCGCCTACCGGCCGATAGGGGCATCAGGCACGAGATTGACCTGGAACCTGGCACCAAGTATTGTGTGACCAGGCAATGGCCGTTGTCGAAGGAACAAGTCGATTACATCGATGAGCTCTTCGACAAGCGAGCCAAGGCGGGACATGTACGTGAGAGCAAATCGCCTCACTGTAGCCCGACCTTCTGTGTGCGTAAAGCAACAGGTGGATGGCGCGTGGTTCATGCTTATAATAAGCTGAACACGGCCATCATTCCGGCGCAAACGCCAATACCGCAAAAAGATGTCTTGTTGAACATTCCATGGGAAAGTCAACAATCATTTCCGCGCTGGATCTGAAGGATGGATACTATCAAGTTCTCATGAGAGATACTGATGTAGCCAAAACGGCAGTAAGCACCCCAAGCGGTATGCTGTGGGAGTGGCTTGTGATGCCACAAGGGTTGAAAAATGCTCCGGCAACATTCAACCGAGTAGTGGCTCACGTGATGCGTCAGCACCGTGCCTACGCGCCCCATTACTTTGACGATGTATTCGTGCATAGTAGGGCGGAGGACGGTCTGAGCGCGATAGAGTCGCACAAGCGTCATTTAGACGCTGTGTTGCAGACTCTGGGTGACGCCCAATTATACGTGAACTTGCAAAAGTGCGTAATAGGGGTCCCCGAGATACCTGTACTGGGCTGCATCGTAGGTGCACATGGTGTACGAGCAGACCCAGAAAAGGTAAAGGCTGTAAAGGAATGGCCAGTCCCACGACACGTGAAGGATCTGCGCCAATTCCTTGGGCTCGCTAATTACTTGCATAAGTACAGCAAGAATTATGCGGAGCAGACCAAGCCATTGTCTGACCTTTTAAAAAAGGATACAGAATGGACTTGGTCAAAGGAACAAGAAGATGCGTTCACTTCAGTGAAGCAATCTATTGTAGAGGCACCGGTCTTGGCATTGCCAGACGCGGATAAGCCCTTTAGCGTCGTCTGCGATGCAAGCAATTTTGCAATCGGCAGCGCGCTCATGCAGAAGGATGACGACGGCGTATGACCGTGTCATTTCTTATCAGTCTCGGCTTTTAAAAGCTGCCGAGCTGAATTACCCTGTTCATGACAAGGAGCTACTTTCAATCAAGTATGCCCTTGTGAAGTTGCACAAGCACCTCTTGGGCACCGAACCTTTTGTGGTTTATACGGATCACGCATCACTTCGGACCGCTATAAATTCACCGCACCTCTCGCCTACGATGGCGAGAAGGCTAACATTCTTCTTTTAATTTAATTTCAAAGTTGAATATAAGCCGGGTAAGTCGAATGTCTTGGCTGACGCGTTATCGCGCAGACCAGACTTCGAGGCAAGACACCAGGATAGTGTGTCTCGTGCGAAAGCACAAGTTGAGTCGTCGACATTGGCAGCCATGAAGGCCTACCATGTGACGAGCTCAATGGCCTCCGATATCAAGGAGTGTTACCGTCAGGACGAACATTGTCGCCATGCTGTTGGATCATTTTGGTGGACGAAAGGTTACCCTTCCGTCGCACCTCAAAGCGAAACTAAATCGCTTTAGTTACAGTGATGGCCTGTTATGGCATCAACTGTCACCCTGTGATCCCTTGAGAATCTATGTCCCTCATGACACAGATCTCAAGCTGATGATACTTCACGAGTGCCATGATGCGCCATCTAGTGGGCATCTGGGCCGTGAAAAGACACTCTTACGAGTGTCAGAGGAATTTTGGTGGCCCCACCTATATCGGTGGGTGGCCAACTATATTCGCTCTTGTGAAGAGTGTCAGCGCATAAAGCCTGCACCTTCAAACAGTGCGCCACTGAAGCCACTGCCGATTCCAACTGAATGTTGGAAGTCGGTCAGTTTGGACTTCATGTTTGGCTTACCGCCTGACCATAAAGGCAGGACGGGGCTCGTCGTCTTTGTAGACAGACTGAGCAAGATGGTGCATTTGGCACCATGTAGCACCAAGATCTCAGGAAAAGAGGCTGCCCTCTTGTTCCTGGATCACGTGTATCGACTACACGGGATGCCCGAGTCCATAGTATCGGACCGGGATCCGCGTTTTACGTCGGGTTTTTGGCGACATGTGTTCGAGCTGCTGGGTAGCAAGCTCCACATGTCAACCGCTGATCATCCCCAGACCGATGGCCAAACAGAACGGGCCAATCGAGTCGTGGCGGATGTGTTGCGTACAATAGCGACTCCTAAAGAATGGAGCAAGCAATTGCCATTCGTGGAGTTCGCTATTAATAATAGTGTTCACGCCAGTACGGGTGAAACACCGTTTTACATTAACGGACTGCGTCATCCTCGAACGCCAGTCTCGTTTGTACGCAGCCCGAGTCTTAGTGGGGGAGGGCCCCTCACTTCGCTCGGTGCAAATGCCAAAGAGGGCCAAGGTTGCCCTAGTGACACTGCTAATTTAGCAGTGGTCACGACACCTATAGGTGTCACAAAGGAGGCACGGCAAGAAATGCCAGTGCTCCTTGATGATGACACTATAGTGTTGTCAACAGCGTCGACCCATGAATGACCTCTTGGAGGCGTCATAGGCGAGCTGGATGCTAAAAGTGTGAGCGAAGCTCAGCGCTTTGTGGATGAGCGATTAGCCATCACACGTAAAGTCCGTGACGCGATGGCAAGCGCACAGGACAAGCAAAAACAATATGCAGACCAGCATGGTCGCAAAAACAATGAACACTTTAGTGTGGGGGACAAAGTGCTATTAAGTACTGCTACCCTACCTAAACATGCAATCTCTGTACTACCTGGTGGTACTACTAAGCTATTGCCCCGGTTCATTGGGCCCTTTACAGTGGTTGAAGAAGTTGGAGACCTAAATTATAGGCTCACTCTCCCACCGTACATGAAGACGCACCCCGTATTTTACGTGGGTCGTCTGAAACGGTATGTTGATCCAGAAGAGATCACATATCCGCATCGGTCTAACGAGACCGATGGTGACGCCGACTGTGAGTCGAGCGTCCCGACCGATCAGGCGACGAGGAAGCCGAGAGGCTCCCCGTGTATGAACGAGGCGATAGAGAACTCGGTGATCGAGGAGGACTCCGCGCTTGACGCGGGTCTCTCATCACCAGTCGCTCTAAGATGTCCAAACGGGTCTTCAGGCGGTCATACCCCTGACGGTCTCTCGCCCTCACATCACGCAGAGCCGAGGTCAGTCGCGAGACTTGACTCTCGAGATCTGTCACCTGCCTCTTCAGCGCAGCGGACTCAGCCTGCGACTGAACAGCAGCAGGGTAGGCAGCCGCGAGTAGGTGGGCGTAATCGCCACTCCTATCGGGCGCCACCTGTGTTGGTGGACACGGATGGGAACACGCGCTTCCTTGTTGGAAGGCTGTTGGCCCACCGGTTTGTGAAGCAAAAGCTCCAAATCCTTGTCCAATGGAAGGGTTACCCAACGAGCTTTGATTCGTGGGAACCTGTGGACGCTTTGCGCGTTGACGTGCCTGGGCTGGTGGCTACTTATGTGAAGCAGCACCAGCTGTCGTCTTTCTGCTAGGTCCGGAAGGACTAGCAGAAGAAGCGTGGCGAGAATTAATTGGGGGTCGCTTACCGCCCATAATTTCATGCGCACGCTTCATGGCGAAGCTGATTCGCTGCGACCGCTGTTTCGCTGCATCTTCATGCAAGGTAACACGGCGCCGAAGTTCAGCTTCATAGTCGTCGGCTGTTTCGTTAGAACGCAGCACGACTGGAATTGGGAAAGCACGACCAAGTGCTTTGCCCTGCTTTTTCCACAAAGGAAAGACGCTATAGAATTTATGAGCGTCTATAGTGGCACGCTGCAAAAGCGATGCGCTAGACCCATCTGAGCGCATCCACTCAGATGGAGGTGGCATTGGTGGCAAGCCACCACTCACGTAGCCGCCCTCGCGACGGCGGGCTAGTGAGGCCGAAGGTGTACTTGGTGGAGCTTTAAGCTCACACTCAGCTGAGTCTGACTCTCCATTATGGATTTTCAAGACATCAGCTTGAGGAGTTACATCTGACTGAGTCGCGACTACTCCTTTCGAAGTAGCGTGCTCAGTCTTAGTCACTGCGCTCGTAGGCGCAGACGACGAAGCTTTACCTTCGCTTGTAGGAAGCATAGATGCTTCCTCAAGGACGGGTGCCTCAAATGATGGGGACATATGTCCTATCAATGCACTATGCTCATCACCACTTTGGGGTGATGGCAGTGGTGTGGTCTCATTGTAGCTTTACAATGAGAGATGGATCTTCATCCACATTATCGTGGGATGGAAGATCCACCCCAGTGCCTGACGCACTTTGCGACGGCTGCGATAAATCGCGGCGCGTGCGCTTAGTGCTGGACTGCATGGGTGCCTTTGCAGGCGACCCATCAGCCTTACCACGTTTCATGGGCATGAGTACTGAGCAGACTGAAGCGGCGCGTTTATAAACGGCTCGCCAGTCTCTCTGTCTCTTAGGCGATGTTTTACAAAAATGTAAACATCGTTCTAAAACGGGGGATGGTGTAACAGGGTACCTAGTTACACGTAAACATTAAGTAATATACTTAATGTTTGGTCTAAAAGTATCCATGATTACTTTTGACCAGTCACTTGGGTGCGACACACAAATGTGGTCCACCCTCGTGAATGTGATATCCATTGATGGATTCACATGAGAAGGGATGACGCTAGTTGAAGCTAGGCATCACGACGTCTCAGAAGGACGTCAGTTGCGATCTTAAATCTAGATTTAAGATCATGCGACAGGATACGCTTCTAAAGAGTCGCGTATCCGATCTATATATATATATCTATATATATAGCCAATCAGTAGTTAGAACATATATTTAGTTATAATTAATTAAATATATCTCAGTCTTGAATTTACTTAAACAACAACACCACGCACCAGAAGTTGAAAGACTTCTGTATAAAATTATTTTAATTCTAAAAAACGTGTCGTCGGTGTTCTAAGTGTTAAGAAGTTCGTTGCACTCTCGCTTAAGCGAGAGGCAACTGGTGGTACGACTGCTTAAGCAGTCGACCAACCTCCCAACCACCCTCGCACGCGAAGGCAAGACGGTATAACCGCTTCCTCGCTTGTGCATAAGGTGTGTGCTCGTAGTACGAGGCAACTTCATAGAAGTGCCCGTCTACAGTTGGAGTGTGGCTACCGTGTACGGACCGGTGACATTTCAGCCGGCTTCCCTGCTGCTCTTCAAACCCAACGGGCAGCTTGTAGCTTCTGGCACACTGAAAAACGTGAAGCCCGATCGCGTTGTGCTCAAGCGCGTGATCATCACGGGCACGCCGGTAAAGGTAAAGAAACGAAAGGCCGTCATACGCTACATGTTTCACTCGCCGGAGGACATTCGGTGGTTTAAGCCGGTCGAGCTTGCAACCAAGCATGGTCTGACAGGCCACATCAAGGAGTCTCTGGGTACGCACGGTGATTTCAAAGCCGTTTTCAACAAACCTATCAAGCAGCACGACACTGTTTGTCTCCACCTATATAAGCGCGTTTATCCCAAGTTTCCAACAATGAACCCCCTGTCGAACTAGCTTTGAGCGCAATTAGTTTTGCTTGTATGCATTAACTTGAAGCTGGGAATACAACCATCTATCCTGCAATACCCCTCGCCACCTTTTGTTTCTGTCTATTGTGAGATCTACAAGTTTGTTACGGCATCAAAAAAGAACGGGCACTTTCGAAGCGCTCCAGTATGCAAAAAGTACTTACGCTGCACAGAGTGCAATGGAGTGAGCAAAGGAATCCGTGGCCAAGACATATCCAGAAAAATGGCATTGTTTTACGTTCGGCTGATTTGGGAGTTCCGGAATGCCGTGGAAAAGCGCTTGGAAAATGGTTTCCGATATGGAGGCTTTTACGCTAATCTTTGGTATTGTCGACGTACATGAGTGTCCACATCATGTCAAATGGACCACGTTGATGCGACTCTATTCGCGCATGTCTAGCTGTCAGTGCAGGTGTGATATTCCACTTTTCTTTCGCAAATAGACAAACTCTCAAGCCTCGTGTCTTTGACATCGGGCACTTCAAAGCCAGAAGATACAAATGTCCTCTGACCAAGTCAGAGTTCCAAAAAGAAAATGCCATCGAATGCCGCAGCGCAATAACTTTGCTTTTGCAGTCATTATAATTCTTCCACTTGCAAGCTCGAATCTGTCCTTTATTCTTCTCGTCATATCTCCCAACCTCTCGACAAAAGCCACTTCGAGGAAACCAGTCGCTGCTGACGCTTTGTTCAACTGCGCAGAGAAACCTCATTCAGTGTCGGTTGCATCGCTGTAGCAGCCTCAGAAGCGCTAGTTTTGACGTTTCCGTCGGCATTATTGCTCGATTCCCGAATTGCATCCGCCTAGCAGTACCCATCACTCCTCTGGATAACGTTAGATGGCCATGAGCGATATAAAGGTCGCCTCTGATGAGCCTCTGGGCACCATCACCCTTGAAGTGCCGCAGCACACGCTGCAGAAATCCGCAATCAAATCGTAAAGACCGTCAACATCGAGAACGTTCGTAGGATTTTTCAGTTCTTCGGTCACGGTGAGTCCTCTTCAAGTCTTCGTTTCTCAGTGTGTGAAAGGTAGGAAGGCTGCGTGCTGAATATGTGGCACTGGCTGTTGCTATCTTTGATGTAGCCTGCTAAAAGTGTCGATGTCGTCGTATCCCGCTTCCATTAATGCCGATTTACATCTCTCGTAGAAGAGAAACGGGAGATCTATCGACAATACTTTCATGACATCGTCCTTGCGAGCGGAAAAGCTCGAGGAGATCCACTTTGATACACGACGCGTGGCTTTCTGTGTATCAAGCTGATAGTTGCGGTACTTCCTGTCTATTTTGCATTGATCACCCTTACATCGAAGATGGGCTGCAACGTGTTGCCAGTAGATGAAGAATTATTGCCACCACCACCGCTAGTTCTGCTGTTCATACTTTCTTCAATATAATCATGTCCACGGCCACCACCAGCTGCAGTGTCACCGTGGGAGCTTTTGCCAACCATCGCCTGTAGCTCGACAATTCACTCTGGCAACTATGACACATTTGTCACCACATCAGCATTAGAATGGTTGTTCACTGCTTGGATCTTCACCTGTTGCTTCTCTCGCATCATGTGATTTTGCACAATCACCATCCATTGGATGTTTTGCTGAGCACAGTAATCGTCGAGGCCTTCAAGGTGCAATACTGGATGCAGGTATCTTGCGTTAATGCCGAGTCCCCATAACAGCATCGCAATCTGCATACGAAAAAGCATCGTGTACCTGCCGAACAAATCAAAACCATGCGGCCACCTGTCATGACTTCTGAGGCTGGAGACTTGAGTTCCAGCTACGCAGCAAACATGGACTCAGCTAGCAACGATACAATCTTATCGATGGCAAAACGTACACCCATCGCAACGACAGAAGAGGCGTTTGCGTACGCCGTTGTGAGCTTCAAGCGTGATATCAGCGTCCACCCTCAGCGATGATAATCTGGCCCCAAATCCAATCGTGTGCACACTGGACCTGACAGCCGAAGGAACTGCATGCCTTGCAACAATATGCGCAAGGATGTACTACCCTCTTTCACATCTTTGACGATGCGGCGTAGCTATGCGTCACGCTTTTGGATCTGTTTTCGGTCTATCGGAGATACAGAGCCAGTATTACCATTTGCTGCCGTCGCTGAGTCTCGGTTCGCAAATGCCCGATTGTTTGCAAATAGTTTTTGCACCTCCAACTCAATAATGTCAAGCGACGTAAGGCAGTCCTCCGGTAGCAAGAAGAATGGTTTGAGTGCATCAATAGAGCTTGCCGATGCCCCGTAGTGTTTCATTCGCTTCGTGACAAATTTCCAGCGTCCTGGTTTCAGACTCGGAGCTTGAGTGGAAGATGGGCCAGCGTGCACATAGAATAAAACTTCGTTCGCAAGTAGTCGTAGCACCTCGCGACGAGCACTGTTGGTAATGCGGCAAAGGTCAAGAATGCCGCGCGTCTTTCGAGCGTCATTGAAGCGCAAATCGTAGGAACCCAGACAGCGCGGCAGCGCTCTGATTACAGTTGAGACCACTTCTAATTCCTCCAGTTCCAAGAAACGAAAACAGCCTCCATCATCATAAATAATATCGAAGTCACTCGGTGAACTCCCGTGGATGGCCACCACCAACGCTCTTCCGGATTACTCGGTCGAATTGGAAGCACTTCAGACGTAAAACATTGCCGTGCCACGAAGCGAGTGAGTCGCTCTGTCAAATCAAATAGAAGCGATACTAACACACCGTTACCGTCTAACATCATCGATGCGTTTGGCGGGGCATTCAGAGTGATGTTGTTCTGCTCAAACAACCTTAGCATAAGCAGCGGTGTTGAGATTTCATGGGCTTCATGGCGCTGGAACACTTTCTGTTCAACCATGACATATTCCGCTTAGACTCAAGCACAGTATCCGCTACAAAAGATAAAATGGTTCCCAGCCTGTAAAACGTTCCTGGCGTATGTTTTTGCGCGTAATTGGACCTCGTAGCTGCACGTTTTAACGGACTCCAGATGATCGTACGTGTAGTCGGTGTGATTAAGAGGCTTCTGTGAGACCAGGACGTCAACAAGTTGACTAAAAATTTGCCATGTGGGTTTGCGAGAGTTTCCAGAGCCTAGGAACCTTCAATCTCTACCTAAGCAGGCAACAGTGGTCTCGCCAGTAGCTCCTTCGTGTTCGGCCGTCTGGATGGATCACGTTCGCAGAGCCACAGAATTATCTTTTTCACCCATAGAACTTGGCAGCAGATGACTCGTTTGACTCGGATAATATTGCGCCAGTCATAGTTTCTCCGAAAGGGGAGGAGTCACCGTTGCTATCGTCGTCTTCCGTGACCTTGGAAAGTTGAACGGCGAGACCAAAATTTCTTAGCTTTACACTTCCGGTCGAGTCCAAACACACGTTAGGCGGCTTGATATCGCGGTGATAATGCCTTGACGATGAATATAGACAAGCGCCTCCAGGATTTGGTGACACATCATCCAAGTTTAGTTGGCGTCTTTCCATAGACCTCCCTTGTCTATCGCCTCTCTGAGAGCGTTTCCCTCGCAAAAAAATACTCCATCTGCATGTACAATTTCTCGAGCTTTCTCTTGTCCTCGAACACAGGATTTCTATGAGGCCGTTACTCGCCGAGATATACAACATCTCCATCGTCACTGAAGTCAACCTCGTCCATCGGAGCTTCTTCTAGCGCTTCCCACTCAAAGCCATCATCAGGAAAGCTCTCGGATGCGCTTTTATGCGAAGGTAGCATGTATGTTTGGCTTTTACTACGCAGACCACGAGAGTCGTGGCGAGACGTCGATACAGGCTACAGTCCCGTGCTGCTGCCTATCGTGCCTTTGCCTTCAATCCATGCCTGAAAGATACCGCACGATATGTCGGTGCTACATTCGTACCGTGTCTTTACTTCACGCAAATCTTCTTCTTCATCGTTTTGTCGTCCGGGTCTAGCTTGACCTTCTTGACAGCGTAAAGCTGTCGGTCTAGACGATTACGTACCTGCATTACCTATCCTCCGCGTCCTAGCAGTCCTACTCGTTATAATCACCATGATACTTGGACTACTACCGTTTTGAAGCCGCCACTGCGTCCAGGCTCAACTCATCCGAGTACGAATCCAACACCTTGACACACTTTCATCCCGCGTGGAACCTGCATTTATCTGCTGTTGGTAACTACTCTATAGGCTCCCACCCTCTCTACCACTACAGTCTCCAACAATATTAGATCGGTGTCTCCTCCGTCTCCTTCATGTCTTCGTCATCGTCTCTCCTTTCTTCTCACAGCGTCAATAAGCGACAAAATTGCCTCATTCTTTACTCGAAACTGTTCTTCTTGTTCTGCAGCAGTGCGTCCTCCATCATCTTATCCTGTGTGTCTCTCTATCCTGTTGCCGAGTCATCATTTGGTCGAAAAATGGTGTTGGTCCTTAAGATGGTCTTGGATGAAGTCAGTGGCAAAGACACGAGATCGTACACGATGCGTCCCCCATTGGCTCCAGCGCGAGTTTCTCCATCCCACGCGTCAGTTTCTGCGTCTCCGTATCATACAAGCCGTGCTTAGCTTCCACCGTGATATTGGGCGGCTATTGATTGGATACGCCCGTGTCAAGTCGAAATGCAGCAGCACTTCGGCCGTCGTAGCTAGCAATCGGATAGTGAAGATGTAGGCGTATAGCGGTGTAGAGCTCTGCATCGCCAGGTCTTGATCGCAAATGACTTGTAACACTTCCAGCTCTTGGGTCTGTAGGGGTCTGTAGCTCGGATAAAGTAGCGGCGTCATAAGCGCTGAAGTGTCGTGGGTTACACGTTTATAGAAAGAGAATCAGAGCAAAAATGTTGAGATGGTTAAGGAGAGGAGATGTAAACGTAGCAACATACCTCTTTTCTATCCCCTTCTTCCGACTCATACTTCAGTGAACGAGGTGGTACAACGATATAATTGGATTGTGAGAGAAAATTGCCATGATTTAGGACGCTATGTACACTCGTGCATATGATGAAGTGATTAGAAAGGCCATGAAGAACAAGACACACAGACTTGCAATCTGGTTACAAGTGGCTCGAGAGGATGCATCTCTAAAGACTTGAATGAAAATGCTTGAAAAATGAGAAGACGAATGGCATCTGCAGCGCTGTGATGGACACCCTATCCAATGCAGTAGAAACTTCTCATTCACGCACAAACTAGCGTGCTTGAACCGTTGATGTATTATCGACGAAGCTGCAGGCAACAACCACTTTTACTTGATGTCACTGCTTTTTTTGCAAGCAAACAGTCAGGAGCTCACTTGAGAATTTGCTGCCTGCCAACGGTCACATTATTCTGTGTAAATTTAGTGCTTTGAGCCACATTCTGGCAAGTTGCAATGCAATGTCTGCGACGTCTTCAACATGGATCGTCGATCGTTCCTAATAGGATGATCTTCAACCTCGTGCTAATGTCTTTTCGCTGCCATTTTTTTAATGAAAGGACTGGTATATGTGTGCTATTTTATTGCTGGCTGAACCCTTGCTTGCTCTGTGCTTACCGAACGCCAGTACCATTTGTGGATCAAGTTTAAGACTATCAAAAGTAATGTTTAATGGCAAGATGCAAAAAATATACTCAGGTCCTTAGTTCGCAAACCTTTGCTACCTCTAAGCCTGTTCAACGTTTTAGATCGTTCCTATCCTGACTCAAAATCTTGATCACAATCACTTATATGCGCCATTGCAGCAACGTCATCACCACGACGTCATTCGGCTCGACACGGTTCCGCTTTCTGCTAGAGCGTTTCCTGGTCACTAAAACCTGCAGCTGATGCTACTTCTTCAGCCAAACGATAGAGATTTTCTTGCGTAGCGCATTGAAAATAGCTAGTAAGCGACTGCACCAGCGCCAGGCTCAGCGAATTCTCGTAAGGGAGTCTCAGAATGGAACGTGTAAGTATTTCAGCATCCCGTCGTTTCGAAAAAGGTGTCGCAATTTCTGCTTCCACAAGATCAATCCAGAGAGTCTTCTCCTCAATGAGGATCACATTCGGCACACGAGGATCTCCATGAGCCAAGTTATTCGCGTGAAGCTGCCATAACATGTAAAAGAGGCTTCGTACTTTCTCTCGAGTCGTTGGTCGCGGTAGAGGTTTCCCGACAGGACACAGTAATAGCGCACCGCTTTCCATAGTTTCTGATGACCTCTCCAATAGGTTTAATCGTCAAGCCTGTGCGCTCGGCCATTAATAAGGCTTGTCGCTCCCGACGAAGACGTCTTACATCCGTTACGATTTTCAGCGCGAAAATCTTTCCATCCTGCCCAGTAACCTTGAAAACGCGTCCATATGCGCCACGGCCGAGAAATGCATCGCCTTCCACCACATTAACATGTAATGCCTCGCAGGCATTGGTCAAGTAGGCCACCCATGGCGACGTGTTCTCACAAATGAAGTTCTGAAACAATGATTTCGAGCCCTTGTCGACCCACTTCGCCTTTTGAACTCTGTAAACATAACCCTTGTAGCTACTGGTTAACCAGAAGGACTGGCGGTCAAACAGAATGGCGTATGCTGACGCCTCGGGGCAAAGGTTTTGCAGGTATTGTACCACTTGGCCAAACGCAGCGTTAGATATACTAAGCTTGCTTTCGAACAGAATGAGGCAGTCGAACAATTCTTCCTCTGCAACTCCAAATCGAAATCCATCCGGGCGATGAACATAATCTTGCGGTTTTGGCTTGACACGATACATTCCAGGATGGGTCGCAAATCCATCCGGTTTGAGGTGCTTGTGCTCTTAGGCAAATTGGGAGACTGAGGTAACCATTGATACCTCTCACTATTCACGTATACCAAACCACAGCTTTCTAGTATGCTGCTGAAGAAAGGAGTAATAAATGCGTCAAAATCAGCCTCATTCGTAATGGCATCAGCTTTAATCTGAGTCTCCTTCGACCAAAATGCTTCTTCGCCCTCAACTGGTGCAAATTCGATAACCAGTTTTCCTACTTCTGCAATTTTTCAAACTCACGTTGACCAAGTGCCGCACTCGACAAGGACTTTGACGATTTGTGTGGCAAGCAGACTACCTTTTGCTCAAGCTGCTGCGCAGCTCGCAATAAACGATTAATGTCTTCTCGCGTCTGTGCTGCCTCATTGACATCTTGAGCTCGTACGTGTTGTTCCTGATACGGAACCACCACCAGCACGTGAATTTCTTTTGGCAATTTCTGCGACATGTTTGCATTTTCAAGAAGCTCATCAATCGGATCTTCCCCCTTGCCAGCTCTTGGTCTTTTTCCGTTAACTCTTCAAGATATTTGAGAAGTCATCATTCCCTCCTTGAGTTTCTTGACGTGTTCAGTGCTGGAGGACTAGCCACTTGACATCCGTTCCTCTTCGTCAGGAAGAGCTGCAGGTCCTTTGCGTCAACATGTGATTGTGTTCGCATTCTCCGCCTTGATAGCCTTCTTCAAAGGTCGGCCACAGTCTTTCAGTCTATCAATGCTGATAGTAAACGCACTCCCCCTCACACCAACGATGGCGCAGTTTAACAGCTTTACACATGTCGTTTTGAGCCGCCATAGGGAATGACCTTTCTTTCTGTTCGCAAATGGATATGATTGGTTTTTTATGACGACTATACTGGGTCCAAGACGTGAGACATCCTTCCATTCTGATTGGCTGATTACCAAACAATATTGATGCTGCTTAATGCCAGTGCCAAAGCTGCAGGCACGTATTCAAGCTGGTCCTCTTGTCATGGGCGCGCTGCTCAAGCACGAGAACCGGCTTCGTGTGCTCAATTTCTCAGTGCAACGCGCTTCGTCGTTTGGTGGTGAGACGCTAAAGTCTAAGGAGGAGCTATCTTTCCACTGCGGATTCCGGAGATTTGCAGGCAAACCCGTTTTCAGTGATCAAAGTCTAAAGAGTGACCAACATCTTTTCCAGCGATTCCTGCCGCAGAGTGGTTGGAGTGTGGCTACCGTGTACGGACCGGTGACGTTTCAGCCGGCTTCCCTGCTGCTCTTCAAACCCAACGGGCAGCTTGTAGCTTCTGGCACACTGAAAAACGTGAAGCCCGATCGCGTTGTGCTCAAGCGCGTGATCATCACGGGCACGCCGGTAAAGGTAAAGAAACGAAAGGCCGTCATACGCTACATGTTTCACTCGCCGGAGGACATTCGGTGGTTTAAGCCGGTCGAGCTTGCAACCAAGCATGGTCTGACAGGCCACATCAAGGAGTCTCTGGGTACGCACGGTGATTTCAAAGCCGTTTTCAACAAACCTATCAAGCAGCACGACACTGTTTGTCTCCACCTATATAAGCGCGTTTATCCCAAGTTTCCAACAATGAACCCCCTGTCGAACTAGCTTTGAGCGCAATTAGTTTTGCTTGTATGCATTAACTTGAAGGTGGGAATACAACCATCTATCCTGCAATACCCCTCGCCACCTTTTGTTTCTGTCTATTGTGAGATCTACAAGTTTGTTACGGCGTCAAAAAAGAACGGGCACTTTCGAAGCGCTCCAGTATGCAAAAAGTACTTACGCTGCACAGAGTGCAATGGAGTGAGGGAGCAAAGGAATCCGTGGCCAAGGCATATCCAGAAAAATGGCATTGTTTTACGTTCGGCTGATTTGGGAGTTCCGGAATGCCGTGGAAAAGCGCTTGGAAAATGGTTTCCGATATGGAGGCTTTTACGCTATTCTTTGGTATTGTCGACGTACATGAGTGTCCACATCATGTCAACTGTAGCTCAAAAATTCACTCTGGCAGCTATGACACATTTGTCACCACATCAGCATCAGAATGGTTGTTTACTGCTTGGGTCTTCACCTGTTGCTTCTCTCGCATCATGTGATTTTGCACAATCACCATCCATTGGATGTTTTGCTGAGCACAGTAATCGTCGAGGCCTTCAAGGTGCAATACTGGATGCAGGTATCGTGCGTTAATGCCGAGTCCCCATAACAGCATCACAATCTGCATACGAAAAAGCATCGTGTTCCTGCCGAACAAATCAAAACCATGCGGCCACCTGTCATGAAATCTGAAGACTTAAGTTCCAGCTACGCAGTACACATGGACTCAGCTAGCAGCGATACAATCTTATAGATGGCAAAACGTACACCCATCGCAACGACAGAAGAGACGTTTGTGTACGCCGTTGTGAGCTTCAAGCGTGATATCAGCGTCCACCCTCAGCGGTGATTATCGGGCCCCAAATCCAATCGTGTGCACACTGGACCTGACAGCCGATCGAACTGCATGCCTTGCAACAATATGCGCAAGGATGTACTACCCTCTTTCACATCCTTGACGATGCGTCGTAGCTATGCGTCACGCCTTTGGATCTGTTTTCGGTCTATCGGAGATACAGAGACAGTATTACCATTTGCTGCCGTCGCTGAGTCTCGGTTCGCAAATGCCCGATTGTTTGCAAATACTTTTTGCACCTCCAACTCAGTAATGTCAAGCGACGTAAGGCAGTTCTCTGGTAGCAAGAAGAATGGTTTGAGTGCATCAATAGAGCTTGCCGATGCCCCGTGGTGTTTCATTTGCTTCGTGACAAATTTCCAGCGTCCTGGTTTCAGACTCGGAGCTTGAGTGAAAGATGGGCCAGCGTGCACATAGAATAAAACTTGGTTCGCAAGTAGTCGTTGCACCTCGCGACGAGCACTTGTTGGTAATGCGGAAAGGTCAAGAATGTCGCGCGTCTTTCGAGCGTCATTGAAGCGCAAACCGTAGGAACCCAGACAGCGCGGCAGCGCTCTGATTACAATTGAGTCCACTTCTAATCCCTTCAGTTCCAAGAAACGAAAACAACCTCCATCATCGTAAATAATATCGAAGTCACTCGGTGAACTCCGTGGATGGCTACCACCAACGCTCTTCCGGATTACTTGGTCGAATTGGAAGCACTTCAGACGAAAAACATTGCCGTGCCACGAAGCGAGTGAGTCGCTCTGTCAAATCAAATGGAAGCAATACTGACACATCGTTACCGTCTAGCATCATCGATGCGTTTGGCGGGGCATTCAGAGTGATGTTGTTCTGCTCCGACACCCTTAGCATAAGCAGCGGTGTTGCGATTTCATGGGCTTCATGGCGCTGGAACACTTTCTGTTCAACCATGACATATTTCGCTTAGACTCAAGCACAGAATCCGCTACAAAAGATAAAATGGTTCCCAGCCTGTAAAACGTTCCTGGCGTATGTTTTTGCGCGTAATTGGACCTCGTAGTTGCACGTTATAGCGGACTCCAGATGATCGTACGTGTAGTCGGTGTGATTAAGAGGCTTCTGTGGGTTTAGGACGTCAACAAGTTGACTAAAAATTTGCCATGTGGGTTTGCGAGAGTTTTCAGAGCCTAGGAACCTTCAATCTCTACCTAAGCAGGCAACAGTGGTCTCGCAGTAGCTCCTTCGTGTTCGGCCGTCTGGATGGATCACGTTCGCAGAGCCACAGAATTATCTTTTCACCCATAGAACTTGGCAGCAGATGACTCGTTTGACTCGGATAATATTGTGCCAGTCATAGTCTCTCCGGAAGGGGAGCCGTCACCGTTGCTATCTTCGTCTAACGTGACCTTGGAAAGTTGAACGGCGAGACCAAAATTTTCTAGCTTTACACTTCCGGTCGAGTCCAATCACACGTTAGGCGGCTTGATATCGCGGTGATAATGCCTTGACGATGAATATAGACAAGCGCCTCTCGGATTTGGTGACACATCATCCAAGTTTAGTTTGCGTCTTTCCATAGACCTCCCTTGTCTATCGCCCCTCTTAGAGCGTTTCCCTCGCAAAAAATCTCCATCTGCATGTAAAATTTCTCGAGCTTTCTCTTGTCCTCGAACACAGGATTTCTATGAGGCCGTTATTCGCCGAGATAGACAACATCTCCATCGTCACTGCGTCCAAGCCCGACTCATCTAAAATCCCTGGGTTGGTTAGCCACAGGAAAAACGAATCTACTACTCTCTGATAGCATCTTGTTCTTGCAATTCTTAACATTCATAAGCTTAATCCACGCTGTAAGCTCTAAACAACTCAACCTAAGAACAGACTTGAACGCAACTACGACCGTTCTTCGCACTACTAGAGACCTCTTTGATTTATAGTCTCACGGCTGTATGAAATGGCAACTCGAAGGAATGCGAGTAGTTATGCATCAGCGAATACAAAGGCCGTAGGCAGGTGTTGTGCAACGCAGCCGTTCGTTCTTTCCAGCAAGTTGACACTAAACCTCATGCTGAATTTGTTGCCAGCGGCTGTGGCGTCACTACAGTTTCGCAGACATGTACTGTACGCGCAGACAAGTCGATTTCGCTGATGCAGGACTATTCACGGCAGAATAACCAGAAGAAAGGCTTTGGCCAAACATAAACATAGTAAACCCCCTTTTTTCTCCGTCATCTTTACCATCGATCGATGAGGCCCTAAAGCCTCAACCTCATTGCGCTTGCTCTTCTCGTCCTTTGGTACTGGAACATTTTAGAGGAAAAAGGCAAAAAATGCAATCAGAAAGCTGTTTACTTACACATCTGCTGTCACAGGAGATGCTGTAATTGATCCTCGTCGCTCTGTTCGATGAGAGACTGCCTCGCCTCCTGCTGCTAAAGCTCCAGACACACTAGCAATATTGGATATTGACGCCGTTTTCGTGATTGGTGGAAGCATGCTTAAAGTCGGTGATGAAAGAGGCTCCATCCCAGCGACCTGCGCGTTTTCGTCCAACACTGCCAACTGGTTACGTAGCTCCTCAATATGTGACAGCACCACACGCCGATGGCCTTTTTTCACATCCATATCAATGAGGTCATCCTCATCAATTGTAGCCACACCTCTCAATGTATCAAATCCATCTTTTTCAAAATTTTCAGCGTATTCTTCCATCTTGAAGAACTTGAGCCAGTTGTACACAGTCTCAATATCTAAAAACAATGCAAGACACATTGCCGTGAGATCGGCTCCAGGTCAGAATAATGCAAGACGACGTACTCCTGCTTCGTGGAGTAACATTATCTTCTTCATCACCGGCGAGACGACTAGCATCATACTCTAGTAATGAAGTGGACTTTTCGTCGTTTGTTGAATAATCGTCGTTGCCTTCCTCCCATGCTTGTAGATAATTAGCAAGAGAGCTGTGGCCAGCCTCAAATGCACAGCGCGATGAGCTTTTGTTCGTCTACAAATGCAAACACGCCAGAAAAAAGACGAGACACGTCACGTCAACATCACGATGCAACTGTAAGATGCAAACATCAAGTACCTACCAGCGTCAATGACAGGAACTCAGATGAGTCTCGGGACTTTCGGATGAGCCAGAATGCACACTCCTTGTTTCCGCCAAGAGCAGCACTATGCACTGCGTTGCGGCCAAACTGCAGAAAAAGAAACAAAACTCGTAAAGTCGTGTATGATCCGTCAGATCTTGCTGCCTCCATCGTTTTGTCTACCTTATCAACGTCCGTCCAGACGGCAAAATGCTCACTCAACAGCTTCAAAGTCGACAAGTGTCCGAACTCTGCAGCCCAATGCATCGCGTTCTTGCCGTTCTGTTGTCAAAAAGAATCAAATACATCTCTGCTCAATAAATGCACCTTGCATAGTCATTCCTGTTCAATACGTTACCTTGTCGCGCATAAATTGCAAAGGATACGCTCCATTAATTTCGGCTATTATCCGTGCAATTTCTTCATCGTCTCCCACTTCAGCCCCATGAACAAATTTCTACTTGCAGCGCAACACAAAAACATCGCATATGCTGAGCCGCCAGCGCCTCTTGTATCATTATCATACAACTTCGACCAGTGCATACCTGCGACGTCTCGTACCAGCTCTTTAGAAACTGCACACATTTTTGCTTGTGCTTGTCATTGGCAATCTGGTATGCTGTCTTATTGTCCTGTTCGTCCGGACGAGCAGATACAAAAACGTGCCAGGTTAGTCAACACGCACCATCATCAAAACAAAAGATTGTCTGTACGCACATAGCTAGTGATGTGGATATCAATGCCCTTCATGCAGAGATACTGAATGACTTCTTTCCGTCCCTTTGACGCTGCCCAATGCAGACACGAACCACCATACTGCACACACAATAAAAGTATCAGAACCCCATTGTAAAACGTCGTCCATTTCCTGTTCTTTTATAAAGTAACTCCACCTCATCAACTGCATTAATGTCAATGGGACTAGGACATTCCTCCAGTAAATACGTCACGACGTCCAAGTGTCCGTTGATCGCCGCTGAGCAATGTGCCAAGCGTCCAAACTTATCGGGAGCGTCCAGTGGCACCCCTTTCCCAACTAAAAACTGTACCACCTCCAAATGCCCATAGAACGCTGCATAATGTAACGCCGTCTGGTCGTCATGGTCGGTAGCGCTCCAATTGACATTGCAATGTTTGTCCATCCACTGTACCACGTCCAATTGACCAGCTGCTGCCGCCCCATGCAGTGCCGAGCAGCCATGCTATGAGTAGACAAGAAAGACAAGCAAGACAATACCATTAGGACGCTATATAATCGAATGCACACCATGTGAGTGATTCTAAAAGTTCTACAGTCTTGCCTGATTGCGATAATTAACATCAGCATGCAACGTCTTGACGAGGTGTTCGACCTCTAACTGCTTGCCACGATTGGCTTTACAGATCAACACATCACCTAAAGTATAGCTTTCTACGATGGATGGGGCACTGGCGCCAAGTGGCAGCTGCACCACACGGTTCATTAGCGTTGATGCGGAAGTAGACGGTGGGAGGTGGTAAGAAGGTGGCACTGATTATTATGGCGTTAAAACAAGGTTATTGCTGAATAGTGCAAAATATAATCGCTGCAATATCATTTTGCGTACGTTTTGTGTCTGTAAGTGCATATTTTACAAGGATCGTACGCGTAAAATATGTGAACCACATCCGTTATTTTCATAGATGAAAACCGTTTCGTTCACCAGTATTCCAAAAAGTAAGTTGAGGTGGTACACCGAATTCAATCAAACGACAGTATGGTCGAAAACTGACCATTTTGTATTCGTAAAGTCTATAAAGCACCATGTCCATCTTCTATTGCGTGGTCGCCAATAGCCACTGCCCGCTGGCCGAGTACAGCAATGGTGGCGATGAGAGCATGAACGAATTTGCGCAGAAGCTTCTACAGAAGCTCAACTTGGCCGAGGACGCGGTCGAGTCCATGGACTTTGAAGGGAAGACGTATAGCTACCGTGTGAACAATGAATTGGCTTACGTCTGTGTTACCAACGAGGCGTTTGGAAAATGGTACGACGACATACCAAACCACGTAATTACTGTCTAACTTTTGTGGGTCATGGGTGTATTGCAGCTCGGCAGCGCTGTTTCTAAAACACATTAACCAGCTCTTCGACAATCGGTTTGGCATTCGAGGAAAGGCCACGAAGCTTAAGTTGGATATGAATCCGGACTTTGCATTTACACTGAAGAAACAAATGGTGAGACTAAAGAGGTGATGAGAAGAGAAAGCGATGTATGCTGACTGTTCTTTTTTGCATGATGAAGGAAATGTTTTCGTCGGATAAAGGCGCAGAGAAGATGCAGGCTCTGAAGAATGATCTGGACAACGTAAGAAGCAATGTCCAGGAGAATATTAGTAGGTTTTGTAGAGACTGAAGTGACTCTTGAGACAATGATTAATGCTGACTTGACGTGGTTTCTGAACTGTAATGAGCAGACAAAGTACTGGAACGTGGTGATAAAATCGAATTACTTGTCGACAAATCGGATCAACTCAAGTACGTTGCATAATTCTGCACATAGGTGCTTCATCGATCCTGGGCTTTTCTAACATACTTGTGCAGCTCCCAGTCTGCAGCATTTGCCAAGTCTAGCACAACTCTCCGTCGTCATTTGTGGTGGGAAAACGTCAAAATGAACATTGCCATCGGAGCACTAGTTGTGGTATGTGTAGCTTTGACAGTTGATGTAGCTGTGCAAGCTGGGATAAGTGTGTGCTGATTTTGTCATGTGCATTTGCTGCAGCTTATTATTGTCTTTATATTCCTGTTTATCAGAAACAAGGTATCGAAATAGCTAGGTACTTTGATATGTAGGTAATATTAATTGGAAACTAATACCATGGGTAGCGCTTTATTATTGCTACGTAAATCCACCAGGTAATGACAGAATGGAATGATTATACCATGCCATCTGCCCCTTATTCCTCCTCTGTGCTATGACTAGACTGTTTGAAACGTCGAAACCTAGTCAATTACATACTCTCGTACAGCTGTTTGCTACTAACGATGACCATTCCAAGGAAAACAGAGCAAAAGTGCAGCTCTTCGAGGCGCTGACATTTAGATGACTTATAAATATGTTACTCGTCCTGCTCAAAGTATGAAAGCAGTTTGGCAACGTAAAAAGGTTGGAGCGCCTTTTGAGCAAGATAAAAAGCCAAATAGCCGCACCCCATGCAAGCTGTTTTTTTGGGCCGATATGATACGAAAAATTAGACTGGGTTAAGATTTTGTCCAAGCTTTGGCCCATAATCTTTTTATAAACCTTGTGCATTGCTTAGGAGGTACAACATGTTAAAGCCCAAGTGTGCGAGCTATCACTGAATCAACGGTCACGTCAGAAAAGCTTCACTGGGATGACAATCACGTCAGAAGAAGCCCGTTTTACGTCTGGTTGAGGTTGGGGAAGAAGGACAAGTGGATTCACAAGAAAAATTCTGTCATTCGTTATCAAATTTTGTAGCGTAGAAAAGCCTTAAATTCAATGATGTATTAATCGATGTTGAAAGCAGTCATAGGTTTACAAGTTTTAGGTTTAGGCAGGTTTAGATTAAAACCTATTTTTTGAACCGGCGCCAAAAGTAGGTTTTGTTTGAATCCAGAACATCAAATTTGACCAAAAGAATTCTTACCAGATCACTAGCTCAATTCACAGTGCTACTTACGCCAAATTTCTACTAGATATGACAAATAACGAAGAAAACAACTCAATTGGTACCGTCCAGGAGGAACTACCCATCCCGGAAGGAAACAGCACCACTAGTAGATTTAAGAGAGGTCGTGCCTTGAGTGATATCTAGTCGGTCTTTACGGAGGTTGTAGAACCCTTCAATCAGAACCATGATACCTTGTAAGCACTGTAAGACAATTGTTTCGATTCACAAAGAAGTCGACAGAATCTCACTTGCGGTACATTTTGTTTTCACTAAACATCTTTGCAAGGGTCAACAGTTTTGAAAAAATTTAAAGCATCAAAGAGGACCTTCCTATGCACTAACGAGGTTAGCGATAATAAGCTAATAGAGTTTACGATCATCCGTCATTGCTGTTTGATCGATGGAAGAGCCACTGTGCTTAATCCTTTGGTCTTGTCTGTCATCAACTGTAAAGAAAGCCAAATCATACTGTAAGTCAACGTGCGCAATTTAGGTTCAATTTAGGTTTTATTCAATCCTGAAAAAAACCTTCAATTAAACCTTGATCGCGGAATATAAAATCTATTTTTTACTTTCAAAATTTTCTAGATTTTGGCCTTTTTATTGCTCTAAGCATCTGGGCTCTCCGGGCAGACGTTGTCACTTTATACGAATACTTACTATTGGTACTTCGACAGCTGCACATTTGATTATTGGTCATTATTGACTGCTGTCAAGACTGTCAGGATGGAAGTGCTCAAGACGAAAGTAATCACCGAAAAAGCGGCGGCGAAGCTGCTTAAGAAGTTTGTAGAGAACAAGGAAAAGGAAAAGAATACGGACCTGATGGTGCGCAAATTGTTTTGAACTTGTGCGGTATAACATCGAAAAAGGAATTTTGACTGACGTTCTATGGATGGTTGGGTTGAAAGATGAACGAGGAGATCAAGTTCCAATTGGCGCAGGTGCTGGCGTACTTAGACGGCAAGAAGCCACAAATTCAGCTGCAGCAGGATGAAGGTCTGTACGGGCAGTATTAGACTGCAATAAGTAATAAACTCCGTGCTTAGACGATAGAGAATGTACTGATTTGTGAAAGGTTGCGATGTGCGGCCAGGGCCGTACAAGCGCTGAATGACATCGTAGTCGTCGTTGTCCTGCGTTTGCTGCAACGACATTGGCACTGATCTACAATAATTGATCGTGTATGCCAAAACCTGTGGTGCACTACCTTTACAAGCCGAGTGTACATAGGTGTTTCCTGACTCTGTCTAGGCAATAAGGTATAAAACTCTGTACATGAAGTTCAGCCTATAGAATCCTCCAGCAGTTTGTATCTCAGCGATACCACGGTCATATTTTCGACGATGCAACAAAAACCAGTAGATGGCGTCCCGCTGCTGGTGAAGGCTGACTATGCTTTGATTGTGTGAAACGCTTTCCTCATTATAAAAGATCCGGAAACAGACATGATGAGAAACAACCGTTTAAGGTTTACACCGACAACATTGTAGAACAATTCCTGCATTATCATGGACAAGTAATCAGACCAGTCAAGTTCATTGAGCACTTAATACGAACTGTTACATACAGGCTGTCGGTTGACAGCTTGTGCTCGATGTAGATATGATAGATAGCCCACCTGTTTTTGCAACGTCTTTACGCAGCAATTGCGAGTGTACATCTATGCACTAGGCGCGTATGCAATTGCAAACATGCAGCTAGTTACGCACGAGGCGACATAATAATAAGCTGTTAATGTGCAAGCGTCACAGATATCAGCGCAGTGGAACACAGACGGTGCCCATGAGGTCTGTGCTATACCATCGTGCCGATGGTGCCTCGTCCTTTCGATTATGGGCACGGATGTTACTTACAAGCAGTGGAAGGGCATTGTCAGCTGGCAGCCTCGTGCCCGCCTTGTGTTAAATGCAGAAGCATGGGCAAACGTCCACAGCTTCCTTCTACGGTAATTACATGACCGTTCCCTTTGGCAGAGGGAGCGTTGCTTATAGATTGCCATCAATAGAGCTGTCCAGGGAGCAAGGACCACAAGGCTTGAAGAGGAGCGGTCACATCTAAAACACTGTTATAGTGCGTAAAAAGGTGTGAGTGCCCCGGCTGCAACGGACCGATTACCCTGCCTAGGACACTTGCCAATTTTCTTGGTAGACCTCAGAGCTCCGACTCCTTTTTTTTATCGAAGCACTAGATTTTTTTCTTACGCGTAGCCACCCCACATACCCATCCATTGACCATGCTGGACTCTTGCAGCAACAAAGAGCTGGATTTGGCCTACATGCCGTATCACGAAGGTCTTGTGAACCACAAGGCGCCGCCTGTGCGTGGCAGCCTCTCGGTACGCTTGTCCCACCAGCAGCAGCACGTGCAGCAGTCTTCGCACTTTGGCGACAGTGATGATGACGACGTGTCGGATGATCCGGCGTGGATGAATGCGCCTCGCGGCAGTTTACAGCCCGCCTTTTCTTTTAGTCTCATGAAGAAGGCGTCTGCTTTGTCTGCCACAGTCTCGCAGACTTCCAGCTGCGTATCAGACTGCAGTGCTGGAGGAGAAGAGGAGACACGCAAGGACAAGAAGGATGACAACAAAGACAACAATGAGTTTTCGTACACGATGCCGACAAGGCCGTCTGAGGCTTCTTTATGGGAAAAGAAAAACTCGAAAGGTGAACGTGATAGCATGAACAATGTGAATGATAAGTTGATTAGTGATCTGAAGCCTCACAAGTGCGTGACTCTTTCTCCTACGAACCAAGCTCCAGCTAAATTCACGACCTCGAACAGGGTGCTGAACCTCAATGCGTCTAAGATCTCGTGCGGCATTTCGGAAATGGAAACGCTGTCGGTGGAACAGGAGAAGTCGGATCCGCCTACTCAAGGCTTGACGTCACCGGTCAGCGCTGCAGCTGTTGAAGGCAACAATGGCTACCGTGACAGCACGATGCGCGATCGTCCTACCGACCTTAAGCAGCGAGACTTCATGACGGCCATGATGTCGCGTGACAGCTTGGCGCCTGAGAATTTCGGAAGCAGTACGGGCCTGCGTGCCAGCAGTCGTAGCAGCAACATGGCAATTAGCAACGGCCATCGGAGCAGCAATGTGCTCGACGGCGGTCGCAGCCTGGAACCGTTTGGTAGTAGCCGCGGCTCGGTGATGCACTTTGGCCCGCGTGTGACGGAGGAGGGTCTTTCCAATTATCTTCGGGCGGTGAAGTCTGGCAACCTGCACTTGCTACGCATATGCTTGGAAGACAGAAACACGAACTTCACCGAGCGAGATCCGATACACGGCCAGTCGGCGATGCACATTGCTGTGCGCTTCGGTCAGCTGCACGCTGTACAATTATTGTGCGGAAAAAAGACGCGCGGTCTGCTGATCGATGCCGTGGATAAAAGAAGAAACACCCCATTGCACCTCGCGTCGGCCAAATCGCGCCGAATCACCAAGTACTTATTAGAGCACGGCGCTGACGCCTCACGCGTGAACAATCGCAACCAGACACCACTGGCAGTGCACATTCTCACGACAAAGCGTGATGACCCGCTGATTGCAGAGATGCTGTTGCAGCACAAGACGGATCCCAACGGTCCGGTAGGTAACAGCACGCTGCTACACAAGGCAGTGGATTTAAAGTTTTACGAGATTGCCTACCGTCTGGTGTACCACGGTGCTCGCCTAGACGTGAAGGACCCTCAGGGGAAGATGGTCTTTGACAAGGTTGACCAAAAATTGCTCCGTCAACTCTGCGCTAAAATCGTGTACCCGCCAGTGTGGGTTTCCAACACGGAACGCAAAAGCTGCATGAGCTGCCTGCGAAACTTTGGCCCCCTTGGTTTGGGTGTCCGTCGTCACCACTGCCGTCACTGCGGTCGTCTTGTCTGTGGACGTTGCTCGCATGTGTCTGTCGAGAGCGAGGCGTTCCCGACTGCATTCATCGGGCAAATTGACCGCAATCCATCGGACGAGCGCTCAAACCTCAAGCGTGTGTGCAAGACATGCAGCAGTGTGTTCGATGAGCGTGCTAAGCAGGCGAAGGAGAGTTCTCCAGGCGGCAGCGTGAAGTGGTCAAAAGCCTTTATGGACAGGGTCGTAGGCTTCGCGTGGGATGATATTGAGAAGAAGGACGACACCAGAAATTTCGGGTCCTCGCGAAACAGGTCCCTCGCAACATAGGATAAATTTGAGGTACACTGGCAAACACGGACTGCTTGAAATACGTGATGTTCTACCTCCATCGATGGCAGTGGAGGGACAGATCAGGCTCGAAGCAGTTCATGAACATTGTTTGGTGTGATATTGCTCAAACAGTATTGTACATGTATTGTATCACTTTAGTATGCACCCAATGTGTTATTACTGTAAGGTAGTTTTCGATCCGTACTTAAACAGAGATTCCCAATAGCAGATATTCACAAATAGTGGTGGAGCACAAGTCTCATGCGCTGTTGTCAGATGGTCATGGGTCCTGCGGGCACCGGAAAGGTAAACCAATAGCACGGCAAGATTCTCCATTGTTTTCTCGCTCTATAGCAATAAATTGAATGCATTGTGACCTGCGGGTGGTTGTTTGTTTGGCCTTTTCGACCGGGATACGTAGTCCACATATTGCAACAATATGCACGAGTTCTGTGCAGCGTCTGGGCGCATGACGTACGTAGTGAATATGGATCCTGCAGCAGAACACTTTGACTACCCTTTGGCCTTTGGCAAGTAGTATTTTCTATTGATTTTGAGCCAGTATGACAAGTAAAAATAATAGTTTCTGGGTGGTGTACAGACATTCGCGATCTGATCAGCGTCGAGGACGTAATGGAGGAGTTAGGCTACGGACCGAATGGTGGACTCATCTACTGCATGGAGTGGGTTGAGTTTGTTGTGTTTTGCTAGAGGTTGATGTAGACGGCGCGGATTTTCATGTGCTATTTTGTAACAGATATCTTGTGCAGAACCTCGACTGGCTGCAAGACTTGCTGGCCGAATACAGCGATGAAGACTATTTCATCTTTGACTGCCCAGGTTGACAGATGGTGTTTTAGTGGTAGTTTGATGCAGATAGTGCTAATTCTTGTTATCATTTGGAGCATTCAGGCCAGATTGAGTTGTACTCGCACCTTCCGGTGATGAAGCAGCTTTGTGATTCATTGAAGGACTGGGGCTTCAATATTTGCTGTGTTTACTTAGTGAGTTCATGCTTGCACCACCGAGACGGCGTGTTGTTTTTTATCTCTCATCAGTGACCGGCCTGTTTTGTAGATCGACTCATTATTTATTGTTGACCCGACCAAGTTCGTTTCCGGTGTGCTTTGCTCACTGTCGGCGATGGTCCAGCTCGAGTTGCCTCACATTAATGTGCTCACGAAGTGTGATTTGGTTGACGATAAAGAGTTATCAAAGTAGGTTTCTCTGCTACGAGCTTCTTGGTCACTAGTTAGATGACTAGACGCCAGACTGGGCATCAGATGCTAATGCTGTTTCGTGTGATTTCTAGATACCTGGATCCGTCGGAGGGGTACCTTCTCGAAAACCTTTCGAATGCTACTGACCCCAAGTGGCGTCCTTTGAGTTCGGCGATTTGCAATGTGGTGCGTAAAAGAGGTTATTTTTGTGAGCCTGTACGAAAGGACAGGCAACTCAATTCTCTAAATATGGATCAATCTTGTCCATAGATCAATGACTTCAGCATGGTGGCCTTTGTTCCCATGAATATTAACCGCGAAGAGAGCATCGAGGCTGTGCTCATGCATGTTGATCATGCCATTAACTATGGCGATGACTTGGAACCTCAGGTACTGTCAGAAACATAGTTGTGATTCCTGTTATTGATTCACATGATATCGTTTGCAACATCTACATTTGCAGGAACCGAAAGACCGGGATACTGACGAATAGACGCGATCAACAATTCTTTGCTGCGGTTTCAGACTTGGTCGTGTGCCTGTCGTGCCTCTATACTTGCTCAAGTTAGGTTTACAAACGCTCGTAAAGAAATGACAATGCAAAAGTTTAGTCAAAATGCTTTGACATAGTCGTCTTGCGTTATGGGTATCAATCAGCACGCAAAAATCTTAAGCCATTGTTAAAAAAAGTCATAACCACCTTTGCCTCGAACATGACGATCGAAGCATTTGAGGTGGTTTTTACAGGCTCAGGAAAGGCTGAGACTCATTAGGACACAGAAGCTGTACTTCAAGTTCAGCAGTCGTTGAGACACTAGCTTCGCATGGACGACAGGCTGCTGTACCGCCTTGTTATAAAGTGCTTTGTTAACATAAGGGTGTGAGTCAAACCTTGCCAGCAGTTCACGATGGTGCATCCACCTTGTAAAGCATTGTCACCCTCACTCTGCAATATCACCAGTCTCGGTGCCATTACTTTTTCTCGAAATCAACATACGCCCCATTGAACTTGCGATGTCGTTGTTGAGGCTACTTTTCCTGCTCATCGCTGTCACCATTATCCCAAGTGCATCAACTATGGCTGCCGATTCCGACAGCAACACTACTAACAGCGTGCTACGCCATCTCGCCGAGACTGAGACGGTCGACTACCACGTGACTATGCTGAATGCTGTGAACAGGGAGCGCGCAGCCTTTGGACTGCCAAAGCTTTGCTTGAACAACAAACTGCGAAATGCGGCTCTCCTACACTCTAGGGACATGGCCAAGAAAAGTTTTATGAGTCATACAGGCTCGAATGGTTCTACCATGTCGAGCCGAGCTGCAACGCAGAGGTACCGCTGGACCTTTCTTGCGGAGAATGTCGCCGCTGGTCATGCAACGGTAGCCAGTGTAGTGGCAAGCTGGATGAAGTCGAAGCCACATAGAGCCAACATCCTGAGCTCCAAGGTCAAGATGTTTGAGTGCGGCTATGCGTACAATTTAAGCAGCAAGTATAAGCATTATTGGACGCAAGATTTTGCATCGGGAAGTGGCGAAAGATGCAATTGAGGCGAGTAGTGTAGATAGAGCGTGCATTGAGGTCTACCAACTTACGCAAGAAATTGTCTTCTAATGCAATTTCAATGCTTGAATAAATGAGCTTGAAAGTCCCATCTAGCTACTATATGAACGTGCAACTTTTAAACCACCATTTTATTCTTGAGCAACATTTTGCATCCAAAAGCTGCTCTTTGCAATTCATTTGCTTTTCGTGAGGAATTGCTTCCGCCCTCGTCAACGACTGTAACACCACGTTATCACATTCTCTTCTCTCTACAAACATGGCCTCAAAAAAGTGGACACTTTTCGGATCAAATTTGATTTGATCGACTATACGATGACCCATTCATTACATAACTGATTAGTTCTGTTATAATACAGTATGTTATGGTATGGACTGCTGTTGTAAAATGTTGCCTGTATAAAATTAGAAAGATTCCGTGAAATGTAGCAGTGTCATTGTCGTTACGTGGTACATCAGGCAGCGAAGCCGCAGAAGTTATCGTCTGACGGTTCGAGCATGTACTTTTCGACCATCTTTTTGGAAACGAACTCGTCAGACTTTGGAATTCATTTAGCTACAATATACTGCCAAGCTGTTGCTAAGTAAATAAATTCCGTTCATAACTCCAGCGTGTATTGCATGTAGAGATATGTGGGACAGAGATGAAGCTCATTTTCTTGTGTCCAGTGTCTCCCATGGACAACTACAAAAAGGACTACACGTTTTAGTGCTGCCCGACCCGAAAAGATGGGTCGAGTAGCGATATAAAGGTCACCTTTGATGAGCCTCTGGTCACCATCACCCTTGAAGTGCCACAGCATACGCTGCAGAAATCCGCAATCAAATCGTAAAGACCGCCAACATCTAGATCGTTCGTAGGATTTTTCAGCTCTTCAGTCACGGTGAGTCCTCTCGAGTCTTCGTTTCTCAGTGTGTGAAAGGTAGGAAGGCTGCGTGCTGAATATGTGGCACTAGCTGTTGCTATCTTTGATGTAGCCTGCTAAAAGTTTCGATGTCGTTGTATCCCGCTTCCACTAACGCCGATTTTCATCTCTCGTAGAAGAGAAACGGGAGACCTATCGACAATACTTTCATGGCATCGTCCTTGCGAGCGGAAAAGCTCGAGGAGATCCACTTTGATACACGACGCGTGGCTTTCTGTGTATCAAGCTAATAGTTGCGGTACTTCCTGTCTATTTCGCAATGATCACCCTTACATCAAGGATAGGCTGCAACGTGTTGCCAGTAGATGAAGAATTATTGCCACCACCACCGCTAGTTCTGCTGTTCATACTTTCTTCAATATAATCATGTTCACGGCCACCACCAGCTGCAGTTTCACCGTGGGAGCTTTTGCCAACCATCGCCTGTAGCTCGACAAATCACTATGGCAACTATGACACATTTGTCACCACACCAGCATCAGAATGGTTGTTCACTGCTTGGATCTTCACCTGTTGCTTCTCTCGCATCATGTGATTTTGCACAATCACCATCCATTGGATGTTCTGCTGAGCACAGTAATCGTCGAGGCCTTCAAGGTGCAATACTGGATGCAGGTATCTTGCGTTAATGCCGAGTCCCCATAAGAGCATCACAATCTGTATACGAAAAAGCATCGTGTACCTGCCGAACAAATCAAAACCATGCGGCCATCTGTCATGTTTTCTGAGGTTGGAGACTTGAGTTTCAGCTACGCAGTACATATGGACTCAGCTAGCAACGATACAATCTTATCGATGGCAAAACGTACACCCATCGCAATGACAAAAGAGGTGTTTGTGTACGCCGTTATGAGCTTCAAGCGTGATATCAGCGTCCACCCTGAGCGATGATAATCGGGCCCCAAATTTAATCGTGTGCACACTGGACCTGACAGCCGATTGAACTGCATGCCTTGCAACAATATGCGCAAGGATGTACTACCCTCTTTCACATCCTTGACGATGCGGCGTAGCTATGCGTCACGCTTTTGGATCTGTTTCTGGTCTATTGGAGATGCAGAGCCAGTCATACCATTTGCTGCCGTCGCTGAGTCTCGGTTCGCAAATGCCCAATTGTTTGCAAACCGTTTTTGCACCTCCAACTCAATAATGTCAAGCGACGTAAGTCAGTCCTCCAGTAGAAAGAAGAATGGTTTGAGTGCATCAATAGAGCTTACCGATGCCCCGTAGTGTTTCATTCGCTTCGTGACAGAGTTCCTGCGTCCTGGTTTCAGACTCGGAGCTTGAGTGGAAGATGGACCAGCGTGCACATAGAATAAAACTTGGTTCGCAAGTATCCGTAGCACCTCGCGACGAGCACTGTTGGTAATGCGGAAAGGTCAAGAATGCCGCGCGTCTTTAGAGCGTCATTGAAGCGCAAATCGTAGGAACCCAGACAGCGCGTGTAGCGGAGCTGCACAGCTCTTTAGCCAGAGGAAGACTTTCGGCTGGAAGCCTCTTAGTTCGAGAGAACTAAATAGAGTTAAGGCTAAAAGCCACTTAGTTCTAAGGAACTAATTAAACGACTGAAAGTAACCCTGTTCTAAGGAACTAGGAGAGAGACTTTAGTCAGTCAAGCAATAAGCTTAAGGTTCAGAGAACCAACGCACAGGGTGCAAGAACAAGCTAGAAGCTTAGAGGTTCAGAGAACCAACGCACGAAGTGCACAAGAGAACAAGTCAGAACGACTTGTGATCTTAAACTCAAAAGGAGAACTGATTTTATTTATGCTTTAAGATTTTATGAATAGTCCTACTCTAAGTACACTACACTAGATTAATTACTATAATAGTAATTATTATATGCAGACTTTGCTATTGGACGACGTATCGTCTAAACATCTGTGTATGATGTACTTAGTACAGCGTTATCGATTATCGAATCCTAATCGATAAGATACGGTATTACCGAATACCGTATCTCAACGCTTATACTTAATACCTCTCTAAAGAGAAGTATCATAATGCATTATATGCAATACAAAGGGGAGTTTAACCGTAAACTCCCGGAAAGACGCTACAACCGTCGTGTAACCCCGTTACACCCTCCCCCACCAGACTGACGTTCCCATAGAATGTCACTCGACATTTTTCCTCTTAGAGGTAGTGCTTTAGCGAACGTTTAAAACCTCACGGTTTGTTCACGGCACACAACATGACGCCTCCCGGCAGTGAGTCACAGACTCTTAGGGTCCTCATTGAAGACGACCTTGACGAAGCGGTTGATTACGAAAGTGACACTGTCTTTGTGGGACCCGATGGGTCCCCTTTAGCCACCCTCACGGGTGAAGATGACACTAGTCATGCACCGAATCCGTTCCCTGAACGTGGTGCAGCAGATGCGCTAACAGCGTTACGTGACCCGCCTAACGTATCATCAACGGTAACAGTTACCAACCCACTCGACGAGCAGCAACAGCGGACCATCGACCAAGAGGAAGGCGCCAAGCGCCGGAAGAAGAATATGACGAGGCTGCAGGACCACCGACAGTACAGGTTCAAGCCACCTACGGTGGAAGAACGCCTAAAGGAAGCATCTGGGCATTCCCTTTCTGGTTGGACCATTGGGCCTGAGGCCATTTCACCTGAGGATGTTGCCACGCGCACGGCACTTCGACAACGATATCTGGAACCCCACATCACTACACAAAGCCAATACTTGGCACGCCTTAACAGGCAAGTGCGCGGTGCGCCGGTTCCTCCCATAAAGGGTGTTCCCATCCTTCTGTTCGCGGGGGAAACCGAGGACGAAGAAGACACGGCCGCTGGGCGCATTATGCGCGACGTTTAAGCAGCATGTGGGCCCTACGGGCAAGTGCCGATGTGGCAGATGTTCGACTTGAGCGGAAGATGCGTTACGATTACGCTAAATTGAAGGCCCGGGGAAAATTGAAATTCCAACGAACGCATTATGCGTCTGCTACCCAGCAGCTCAATGTTTCGGCTACCCCTGTAGCCGCAAGTTCACGACAGTCCGAGGTCGCTAACCCGCCTACCCTCACCATTACTGGTGAGAAGCGTCAGCGCCAACAGGCGGACCCTGCGCACGACGCTCAAAAACGTCCACGGCGTACGGGCAGTCCTGCCGAAGGGGAGTCTCAAACTCCCATGAATTCCACGACTCGGGATAACCCCGCCACTTTACCAGATACTGGTTTTGACCATGGCGGCGACGCTTCTGTAGTAGACGTTCCACATGGAACTGCAGGTTCCCCTGCGCATCGAGCAAAGGAGGAGGAGGTCGGTGTATCGGAACAAGCTCATGCCGAGCTTGTTCAGGAGGTGCGGACCCTTCGTGAGGAGAGGCAGACGATGAACTCCCGGCTGGAGTCCCTGGAAGAGAGTCGGACCCGAATGCAGGGTCAACTTGACTTGTTGGTGCAGATGCTCCGTCCCGCGACAATGCCAATGGGCCCGGCGCGAGCGCCTTAGCGTCTATTTGGGATGGATCCCGATAAGGTTTTAGCATGGCGACATAGAACACAGGATGTGTACGCAATTTGCGCGGCAAGTTAAGCGTATACGCTGTGCCTTTCTTGGCAATGACCTTAAAGGGTCCGATAAAGCGCGGACGCAACTTCGTCTTAAAGACAGCGGATACTACATTGGTAGGTAGGTTTTTAGCATTAAGTAATACTTGGTCTCCGACCTCATAATCATTAATACAACCTCTGCCTTTCGCATCTGCATATTCCTTCTGTTTATCTTGACTATCAGCCATTGCATCTTGCACATGTCGTAAGACATTTAGTCGCGTTGCGAGAAACGCATTTACCTGTTTCCTAACAGTATTAGGGCTGACATCAGCAAGCCGATCGGCAACCTCTCCCTCACCAAGCCCTGAACCACTCGGTGGTAGCGTTAGCGGAACGCGTGGGTGTGTGAGACCATTCACATAGAACGGAGTGTAGCCGGTGGAGGCGTGCACGGAATTATTGAGTGCAAACTCAACTACAGGGAGCATAGAGCTCCAACGCTTAGGCGTTTCAGCACAAACGCTGCGTAGGATATCTTCAACAACGCGATTTACGCGTTCGGTTTGACCATCGGTCTGCGGATGATCCGCCGTGGACATGTCCAAACGGGTGCCCAGCACCTGGAAGACGGACTTCCAAAATTTACTCGTAAAACGAGGATCACGATCAGAAACAATTGCCACTGGCAAGCCATGTTGGCGAAACACCCGATCGATAAACAGCTCCGCTGTACCCACACCATCGATCGAATCTGGCACAGCCGCTAAGTGAGCCATCTTGCTCAAACGGTCCACAAAGACCACAATACCTGTATTGCCATGCGAATCTTTCGGTAGGCCAAATACAAATTCCATACTAATGGACTCCCAGCACCCATTGGGAATAGGCAAACTAGCCAGCGGCGCTGCCGAATGGGGCGAGGGTTTCACCCGCTGACACATTTCACACGTACGCACATATGTGCTCACCCATTTGTATAATTTGGGCCACCAATAACTTTGGCATACTGCCCCATAGGTCTTTTCACGACCCAAATGACCACCGATGGCGGTGTCATGTACCTCATAGAGGATACGATACTTCAAATCCTCGTCATGAGGAACTACAATACGCGGAGTGATCCGACACATCTGTACGATAGTACAACAGCCCCTCTCATCGATAGAATATCGATGGAGGCTCGCACGCAATCGTGCCGACAATTTAATGTCCGAGTCTTTAAACTCCTCACTGCCAAGAGCATGTAGCAACGCTATACAGTGATCATCTTTAGCATACGCCGATACGAATGAGATCGGTGATCGAAGACGACAACGTCGTCACATGAGCAAGCTCATAGTCAGGTCTGCGTGACAACGCATCAGCCAAAGCATTTTGCTTGCCCGGCTTATATTTCACCTCGAAGTTATATTCGGCAAAGAATGACAGCCATCTGGCCATTCTCTGCGAGAGATGCGGCGACTGAGTCGCAGTGCGTAACGACGCATGATCGGTATAGATCACAAAAGGCTTTGAGCCCAGCAGATGAACTCTGAATTTGACCAGGGCATACTTCATCGCAAGTAGCTCTTTGTCATGAACTGGATAGTTCTTTTCTGCAGCTTTCAGCTGGCGAGATTCAAAAGCGATTACACGCTCACGGCCTTCATCATCTGATTGTAACAGAGCACTGCCAATGGCAAAATCCGATGCGTCACAGACGACGCTAAACGGTCGGTCAGGGTCTGGCAAAGCCAAAATAGGAGCATGTAGAAGGCTTGCCTTCACTGCTTGAAAAGCATTTTCGTGTTCGGCATGCCAACACCATTCCACATCCTTTTTAAGGAGATTGGATAACGGCCGAGCCATATCAGCGTAATTTTCGCTATACTTGTGTAAGTAATTGGCAAGGCCAAGCCATTTACGCAAGTCCTTCTGAGATTGTGGAACAGGCCAATCGACTATGGCTTTGACTTTGGCGGGATCCGCTCGTAGTCCTCGCTTCCCAATGAAGCACCCTAGAAAGGGAATTTCTTCGGCCCCGAAGATGCACTTAGAGGCATTAGCATATAATTTATTAGTGCGCATGCACTCGAGCACTGCTCGTAAGTGAACAATATGGTTCTCAATATCTGACCGACCATGTTCAGCTCGGCTATGGACAAAAATGTCATCAAAATACGTCTGTGCATAACTTCGATGGGGTCGAAACAATTGCGTCACCAAACGGTTAAACGTAGCCGGAGCATTAGATAGCCCCTGGGGCATCACTAACCACTCCCAGAGCATACCGCTCGGAGTACTAACAGCAGTAAGCGGAATATCACTAGCTCGCATGAGCAATTGGTAATAACCATCGACTAAGTCGAGCGCACTGTACATGGTACAACCGACCATATTGTTCTGAAGAACATCCTTTCTAGGTATCGGTGTCTGTGCAGGTATAGTGGCCGCATTGAGCTTATTATAAGCATGAACAATACGCCATTTACCATTTGGTTTCTTAACACAGAAAGTGGGTGTCGAGTGCGGAGATTTACTTTCACGCACCATGCCCGCCGCGTGCTTTGCACGAAAGAACTCGTCAATGACGTCACACTGTTCTTTGGGTAAAGGCCACTGCCGTGTTACACAGTATTTGGTTCCAGGAACCAAGTCAATTTCATGACGTACGCCCCTATCAGGTGGTAGAACCGACGGTGGATCGTGACACACCACGTCCTGGAATTCTTTTACCAAAGGATA